CGGGGAGGCATCGCTGTGGGGGCACAGGGCCCGTGCCTTCGGGGAGCCCCAGCCCGTGCCAGCTCAGCCCCAGGGCCTGGGGGGGGCTGACCCCTCTGGACAGGCTCTTCTGTCGAGGATCTGGGGATGGGGACGTGTCCCTGCCCTGTCGCCGCCCGTGCGCTGGCAGGGACAGGCAGTGGTACTGTGGCACAGCTGGAGCAGCCCGCGGGGGTGTAACAGGGGCCGCTGCAAAGCCCCGGCCCTCCTCCCTCTCCCGGGGCAGAGGGGAGTCCCAGAGGGTCCCACGCCCCAGCCTCAGCGCCCCTCTCACCCTCCCTTCCCGCTCTCTGCGGCCGCTGCCCCCGGCAGCCCCTGCAGAGCCGTCCCTCCCTCCCTGTGCAGGACCGATACCAAAATGCCCAATTTCTCCTGCATCCTGTACGCGCTGCGCGTGACCCACCGGGCGCAGGTGAACGGGGACTTGGTGCACTTCAAGAAGGTGAGGGAGGCCCCGGGCTGGGGCAGCGACTCCGGTGCCCACTGGGACCGGCTCTGCGGGAGCCCCCGGCCCCTGGCAGGACCCTGGGGCCACGCTGATGCCGGTGGCTCCTCGCAGGACAAGAGGCGCGTGGTGGTAGCCGACCAGTACCGGAGACCCCGCGGGAACACGACAGCCGGGAACACGACAGCCTCGCCGTCCACAACCACCTCAGGGCAGCAGCCCAGCTCCAGTCCGCAAGCGCCCCAGAGCCGCGCCAAGAAGTGGTACGACCCTGCCCACGCCTGCGCCGGCACGGCCCCGGGGAACCCCCACCCCGGCTGGGGGAGCCTGACCCTCCCTCCTGCAGGGCCCAGTTCATCTGCGGGAAGCACGGGGTAGAGATCGTCTCGGAGCACAACCAGGGCAACGGCCGCATCCGCTTCCCGGTGGTGCCCGGCAAGGCCCGCACCGTCACCGTCCTGGTGCAGAACCATGGGGCCGAGGCCGTGACGCTGCGGCGGTGCCAGCCCCGGCGGCGCCTGCGGGAGTTCTCCTTCACAGACGAGCAAGGGGTGACACAGGGCCAGTCCCTGCTGCTGCACCCAGGTAGTGCCCCGGCCCCTGCCCCGCACCCTGCCCCGCTGGGGGAGATGCAGGACCCAGCTCTTGTCCCTCTGCCCCGCAGGCAGCTCGTACCCCATCCAGGTGCGGTGCCTGGCCACCTGCAATGGCTACTTCCACACCGTGGTGGTCTTCGAGTTCACCAAGGAACCAGACAAGCCCTTCAGCATCGGGCGCTTCATCGCTGCCATGGCTGAGAGCCAGCTGGCCAAGGACCTGGGGCCCTCGGAGCCTTTCCAGCCTTACCAGGCCAGCCTCCAGCACCCCGTCACCATCATCACTGAGGATGGCATCCCCCCCGACAGGTACGTGACGGGCACCACCCACTGCCATCCTGCCCAGAGGGCTCCAGCCTGCTCTCCAGCCAGGACAAGGCTCAGGTCCTTGGGACCCGGCCACTGGGCACCCCGGCACTGCGCTTCATCCCCGTGCGATAGCTGGGGACAGGGGGGCTGGGGACACCGGGGAGGTTGTGGACACCAGGGAGGTTGGGGACACCGGGGAGGTTGGGGACACCCTGCTTGCCAGGGCCACGGGTGGTTGCTGCCTAGGGGGATCCCGTCCCTGTGGCACTGCTGTCCCCTCCATCCAGCTCCCTGAAAAACCAACTGGAGAGCGAAATCCCTCTGGACACCTACCAGTACCCGCAGAGCCTCAAGGACGCGATCCTGCACGGCCCCAGGGCCAGCTCGGGCTGGGCCACCATGCAGTGAGTGCCGAGGGGTGGGGGCAACCACCTCCCGCCCACTGACCCTTGGCCAAGGTGTCCCCGGGGCACGGTGACATCCCGGCTGCCCGCAGGTCGCTTCTGGAGGCCCCTCTGCAGCCTGAGAACTACCAGCAGAAGTTCCAGCTGCTGCTGCACCTGGAGGAGATCCAGATGGAGGTGGACATCCGGCGCTACGACATGCAGGACGTGACCATGGTGCAGGACAGGGCGCTGCTGGTCCTCGACGTGCGTAGGGGAGGCCGGGGGGGGCGGGGGGGTGCCGGGGCTCCCCGGGTGCCCGCCATCACACCGGCTGTCCGGAGCAGGTGCCCGGCGTGGCCGAGAGCCGCCCGTCCGTGCTGAAGGGGGATCACCTCTTCGTCCACCTGAGCAGCGAGCGGGACCGCTCCCCGCTCGTCCAGTACAAGGGCTACGTGCACAGTGTGGAGCTGGAGAAGGTCCGGCTGGGCTTCTCCTCCAAGTGAGTGG